GTATGTCACTGAACTTCTCTTAAACGACTGGACCGATTTTGATGAAATTTTTTGTGTGTGTTCAAGGGGATCTGAGAATGGTTTAGATTCACAATTTTGTCCGCTGGACAATGTTTTTTTAATTATTTTTTTTTATGGCGGTACGAAGTTCGCTGGATCAGCTAGTGTATAAATAAAACAAGGAAAAGTTGAATATTCGTATGTTAAAAAATGATTCTGACTGTGAACTTACTGCAATATTATGATGATTCTAGCTTATAAAATTATGAAGATAATGTCATTCACCAAAATGCATAATAGTACATATTATGACCCTTCGCAAAGTAGGTACTTCCGTTAAACATAGGTTTATTCATTTCAGTGGTAAAATCCGCTACGAAAAGACGGACGTCTAGACGCTCTTAATAGGTAATAGTAATAAGAAAGATACAAAAAACTTTCTATTAAATCCATTACTTTTTATGAAAACCACTTGTTCGTAGTTTGTTAAACAATATTATGTTGTGCCAGATGTGCAGTGAGCGTGATGTTTAGTTGATGCTGTTCGTACGAAGATAATATCAACAGATCGTAAATGCAGACCTCTGTAACATTAGAATCGGTTATAAAACAATTGCAGTAAACTGATTGTGTTCAAGAACTAATCGCTTTTTTCACACCGTAAACAGTGTAGTATCAAATGCGAAAGTGTGAACTGTGTGTCTATCCGTCTGTTACCTCTTCATGCTTCAACCGTTGAACCGATATAGGTGAAAGATATAGAATTTGAGTCCTGAGAAAGGACAAAGGATATTGGAACTCTTTACCCTTGCACAAACGAGGAACTCCATTGCTATCAAAATTAAGGAATATTTCCTCAAGCTGGACTCTGCCTGATTTTTTTATCTGTTCATTACTTTGTATTATATTTTATAGCTTCCTTACATACTTACTATGTTTTTTATTCTTCTATTTTCGTTTATTTTTGAAGTGAAAGCTTCTTTAGCGGCGTTGTACACTTTTTTTGTATGGGTAATAAATGTTAAACTCGCGTCAGGTTAAACACGTGGGCTGATCGCATCATGACACACAATAAAATTGGAAAGGTTGTTTACTTTCAATATATTGGACGAAACATGTAATATTTTATTTTATCGTATAATAATAATAATGTCTCTCTCTAGGACGTCCACGTGGCAGCGTTATTGCGAAGAAAATGCATTTTTTTAAAAATAGATGTCGCTAAGTACGCTTAAACGTGATTCATGTAAGTTGATTTTTCTGAGAGATAATTTTTTTTAATGTAATATAAATTGTCATGTTTTAGTACGATAGCGCAATAAATAAATATTGTATTCTACCGCATACATGATAGTACTTTTATACTGATAATTAAAGCAATTCGTGCAAAATTATTCCCTAACCATTCCAAAATATCAAGTTAGTAGTCACGTTAATATTCAAGTTTTCTCTTCTGCCGGCACTCCCGGAGTGCAACTCGTCATTTTTTATTTTTTAGTTAGTGGGCATTAATTAGGCCGCGTACTCAGCCCCCACGCGCCCCCCATCCTGCACACGTCTGCGGGGTCCCTGCGATACCCCGGGAGACCCCTGCCGTGGTGCCCCGGCTAGGCCGGGAGACTGCTAGGTGCGGAGACGTGGAAGAATCCCTAAACGGGGATCCCGCGGCTTCGCGCTAAGCATTTAGAGGGTATTCGCAGGGTTTTTTAGGATATATTATGCCGTAAAGCGTCCGTAAGAGTTCCGGGGTCCTCAGTCACTCATTGAATTGAATCTATTTTTTCTTATTATTTACAGATAGTCCGAGCATGAAGTAACAATGGCCCTGAAGTTAAAGTACAAGGACGAGCACGGCGTGCTGCACATCAACATGAGTCCCGCAAGCAGTCCCACAAACTCCCAGACACAAGACAAACAAGACATCGCCGACCCTAAATTCGACACTATTAATAATAGGTGCGCAACTATAAGTTTTATTATAATTAATTGTTAAAGCTCGTGTTAACGTGTTAGTCCACATTAACATGAGTCCCGCCAGTAACCCCACAATCTCCCAGACACAAGACCAAGGTTTCAAATCTGGCATGATTCTCTAAACTTCAAACTAAATTGAACATAAGTCTCTCCTTTTCATTCTGTATAGAGAATGACAAAGTTATATTGTTGTCAAATTTAAGTTTAGGTATAAATAATCATGCCGCAATCCACACCACTTATAACAACAGGTGCTTTACTTTTAGATTGACTTGGTGATTGGTAGAGCTCGTGTTAAAGTGATAAATCCGTAATTTAGGGTAACATTACATTTCTACAGAAATAAGATTTTCTTTCTATGTAAACTAAAAAAAAATGGGTGCGTGTACTTATGTAGGCGCGTGAGAAGTTATCCTTCTTTGGCATCGTTTAAAATTACTTTTTAATTGCATGCAAATAATTAATTACAATGAATTAATAAAAAGTCTGGAAAAGGACACAGTCAATAAAGTTCAGTTTTAATTTGAAAAAATAAATAAATAATCAAAATATTCAATTAAAATCGCTACTGAATATAATTTATTAGAACATAAAATATGTGATTTGCACTTGTATGAAACTCAAACACGTATTCCGAATATACAAACTAGAAACATGTGGATAAATATTATAAATATGAATACCTATAACTGTTACTTTATTACAAAAAATAAAGATGTGGTTTTTGGTTCTACTACACCAATGGTCAAGAGATGGTGCTGTAGTCTCCTGAATCGCGCTTTGTTTCCGTTGTTCCAGATTAATAAATACTTTTGATAGGCCTTCACAATGCAGTCGTTAGCACCCACTAAATAGAGATTCTATTTCTATTTTGTTGGTAGATTTTCTTAATGTGCGGTAAACACAAAAGTAACGCATGAAGTTGGTCACTAAAGCGACCAACTTCATGCTGTTAAAATTTTGTGTTACAGTGATGCGCGCGCGCATCTTAAAATTTCACTCTCATCATTTTTTCATAACGCGCCTAAAGAAGTATAACTTCAAAAATAAATTGTGATGTATCCCTGTTTCCTTAGTGTCCCAAAAAAAGTAAGTGTACACGGTCCACGCATCTGAAGTAAAACTTCTTTTCTGAAATAACCTAACATTAAGCGGGGTATAACGCATAGGGGAATGGAACAGCGCACGCTACACTCATATATATGTACAAACATATATATACCTTTTTTTTTTTTTTTTTTTTTTTTTTGTGACGAGGGGAAATGCAGTTACGCACCATACCGTGACGCTGACTAGGCGCACGGCGTGTGTGGGACTCGCCGGCACGGGAAACAGTGCCGACCCTACTCAAGCAGGACCAGTGCGGAAGGCCACACTGATCCTACTCCACTAAAACCCCCCGGTACCCTCCTACGCCCATATGGGGGCGTCTCGGGGCCGACGCACCTGCGTGCGCCACATCTCCGAGCACGCCCCCGGAAACATATATATACCTAGTCAGGTCATAAATTCTGTCACATGTTTAATATAAAATAATTGAAACAAGTTCATTCATTAGGTAACCATTTATATACCAAAATGAACTTAACAAAACAGATATTCTTATGACAATAAAGTTTATTCAAAATGACCTACGTGATTTTGAAGACAGGTCTTCAATCTGCGCGGCCAGTCGTCCATCGCAGCATGAACGAGGTCCATGTCAATTTCGGCGGCTGCCTTAATCAAGGATGTCTTGAGTGTCTCCAAATTGGGATGGGGCTTTGAGCACGCCTTTTCCTCCAAGTGTTGCCATATCTTGTAATCTAACGGACTCAAATCTGGACTGGAGGAGGGCCAGTCTTCGTGCCGGATGAAGTCGATTTCACGCGCCGTCAGCCAGTCTTGTGTGCTCTTCGCTCTATGAGCTGGCGCCGAGTCTTGTTGGACTACCCAGTGCCTATTATTGAACATGGTATGAGAAACAGGTTCCACAAGGTTCGTCAGGACTGTATTTTGATACACAACTGCATTCGTTTTTACACCTTTCTCACAAAAATGTACCTCTGTTAAGCCCCAATAAGAAACTCCCAACCATACCATGAGCGAGGATGAAAAATGACCTCGTTGGACACGCGGAATACGGTTGCTCGCTTTTTCACTACTGTGTGCGTACACCTTATCATTTTGTTTGTTGTAGCTCTCTTCTACGGTAAAAAATTTTTCATTCGAAAAAAGAATTTTCCGATATTTATTTCCCGCGTACCGCTTCAACAAAGCGCGGCATCTCTTCAGTCTCAGGTCCATTAGACGAGCATTCAAACGATGTCCTGTTTTTCTTCGATATGCCCGAAGCCCTAAGTCTTCATTTACACCCTTTTCACCGTGGTTCTGCTTAACCCCATCTGAAGGGCCAACAGTTTCTGCTTACGTTTGGGATTTCTTTAAATTCGCGCCTTCACAGCTTTTATCATTACTGGAGTCCTAACAAACCAAGGGCGACCACTTCTTGACCTGTCATCTACACTAGAGTCTTCATTGTATCGTTTGATGGTACGATAAACGAATCTTTTGGTTATATTCAAAATTTTCAGTATGTCAAAAATTTGGATTGGCGCGTAACCGCAACGATGCAACGCAATAACTGCAACACGGTCTTCTTAAAATAAATAAATATTTAAAAATGAGTAAAATTCTAAAAAGAACAATTCAAATTCGAAATTCGAATTCCATAAACTGTTTTGTGGTCAGCATTCTAAAAGAAAAGTTTTTACTGTGTGACAATACTTATGTCCTGACTGTGTATATATATATATATATATTGTCGCGTGTGACGCTCGTGACGCATTTCCGTTTCATATTTTCTAAAAGAAGATTTTTTGTTTAAAAGAAGTTTCACTTCTACAAGTATTACATTGCTTATTTTGGGACTAGGCTAAATAAAGTTGAGTGTTATAAATAATAATACACACGGAACAAAAAAGTTAATAATAGTCTGTCTAGTACAAGGAAAGCGTTGCATTATGCACTACAATCCAGTGCATAATACACAACAAACGCTTTCCCATTTTTCGCACACTATTAACATCAATTAGTTACTTTAATAAACATTCGTTTCATTCACAGATTCGACCGCCAATACGACCTATTCGGCGGCAAATACGACGTGGACCCACAAGAGCCCGCGGAAGGCCAATCTCTGTTCCGTAGCCGCTACAACAGCGTAGAAGAGGAATTGGCCAACACTCCCTACGCGTTCGCTACAGAGCGAATGCGTTTAAACAATTTAGACGTGACGATACAATCGCGGGGGTTAGACGCTTCGCCGTCAAAAGACTTGGAAGACGACCGTTTCTTCAACAGAAGCTACGACGATCTATTCGGGCCGCAGTTAGACTCAGCGTTTACTGTAACACAGTTGATCCATGCGCAGGATCGATATTTTGATTTGTCGTCGCGACAGGGCAGTTTAGACTCGCCTGCTGTGAACAGTTTGAGTTTGGAAGTGAGTGCGCGCAAGGAGCAACCGAGAGATGGCGCTTTTAAGGTGCTCTCGAAGGATGCGGCTGTGAAACCGGCGCAGGCGCAGCCTTCACCACCGGCCAGTTTACCGTGAGTAGTTAGTTATATTTTTTTATCTTTATTGTTTAGTAGCTTTTGTCCAATGACATGGCAGCTCCATCGAAACAAACTAACGAGTATTGAACTACTTAATTAAGAATTTTATTTATTTATTTATTTATTTATTATTCAAAATACATTACACCATTATAACAGGTATATACCTAATTCAATAGTGTAGTCGTCCTTTCAAGCTAACTATAAATTCTTATAAAATTACAATATTAACAATATTATTTCAATGTTGTAAATTATATATAAATGTCAATAAATGTCAATAAAAATAAATAAAAGAAAAAACAATGTCAATGTAAGCAAATGTCAATTACAAATCTATAAAAATAAAAATAACTTCAATTTAGGATGCATTACAAATATTGTCCATAAAATATAAAATTCATAATACATTTCTCAAAATAAATGAAAATATATTCCAGTAAAAAAGTCAAAGTCAAGTTTTAAAATTATTACATTAGGTTTTCGTACTTGTGTAATTTACTGGCAGCATTCCACTAAACTACACAAGCACAATGCGGCTTCTGATTCGGGGTTGCTCAGAACACTTTGAACAATCCCCATATCCAACTTATTTATTTGAAATTTTGATATAAACTTGTTCCTTTGAACCTGATTCCGCTCACATTCCATCAAAAGATAATGCACGTCCTCAATTTGTAGTAAGTTTTATTTGTCATTTTATTATTCGACTACAAAACGGATAAATAATCAAAGACATGCGTAAAATAAGCTTTCTTTCTTTATGTTGTGTTCTAAATTTGCTAACCTATTTCAGACACAAACGGGAGTAAAAATAATTAAAATATTGAAGGATTGCCCCTGTTAAGTCGAACCACACTTTTTATTATTATACTTTTTAAAATTATGGAATTCTATATTGTCTTGACGCTGGGTGATTGTGATGGTTGGTACTTTTATTAATTCTATTTATTTTATCTTTCTTTTTTTATTTTTATAAGACAATTTCACTTCTAAGACACATCTAGGTTTGTGACAAATGAGATCGGGGTATATCTTATCAATATATATATATTTTATATAGAGGTAGGCATGATGACTCTACCCCACCTGATGTTAAGTGGTAATAAAGTCCAAACGCTAAGATTACCAACTATCTTCGCGCAGCAGTTATAAACTGCCATACCAATCATTCTCACCTTGCCGGCCTGCAAAAATGCTTCTTCACGCCTCTCTCAAAGGACCCCTGATTATAGGAAGGAGGCAACACTTGCGCGGGTAACTTGCTCGAGCATTACATTATTATAATACAATTTATTTTAAATATCTATGCGATAGTTCTTCGTGAATTTAATTAGTACAAGTAGTTATAGCATTCAGTTTCCGTTTAGTACTAAAATCTAAAGAAAGTTGATCGCGCATAGGAATTTGTGGGAAAAAATATTTGGGCAACTCAAAAGACTCGTATTACGCTTCCAATTTGCATAAAATAATTCTGACTTTGTAGACCAATTTCGTTGATAGAAATGTTAAAGATGATATTTGGGTAATATTTGGAAAATATAAGTTTTGCAGATAAACAACTCTTCAGTAACAAACAATAGGTACATATATTGGGATTGGTTATTTTATGAAGTATAAAAGGGCTTCGCGCTAAGCTGCTTAGAGGGTATTCGCAGGGGTTTTTAGCGTATATTATGCCGTAAAGCGCCCGTATGAGTTACGGGGTCCTCAGTGGGCAGCCACTGCTGGGGCTTGTAAGGCTTGCGGGAGCCAGGTGTGAGGTCCGTTCGGCGGTTTGCCTCTTAAAGTCGTCTGTCTGTAAACAGTATTTTTTGCCTGCGTATAAAAAAAAAGGTCCGCTAATGTTGCTCTGCATTAGAAAAAATCTTTGTTAACAAAACTAAAGACCGACTTCATAAAAGCAAAACCACTAATATTAAGATAAAATACTGTTTACCCTAATAAAAATCGAAAGTACATTTAAAACAAAATTAACAAATTTTGGATTTCATGTCAAGTCAGTTAATAGATCTGTTTCCGTTTACTATTTGAATGAGCGCTGACTCTAGAAATACGTCACGTCTGGACTTCACCATCACTTAACATCAGGTGGGGTGGAGTCATTTGTCGGACCTATCTATAAAAAAATATGTTAATTGACACATATTTAATGATCACCAGAACTCATTTAAATATGTGTCAATTATCTTAAGAAAATACAAAAGACCTAATCTAACCTAAGAAGCTTAAATTGTAAAGTTTAGTAATCAAGTTGTTTTTAAGTTTTTGTTATTTAAATGTAAATATACGTCATATATAAATAAATACACTACAACTATTCATATATCTTAGCTTATCAATTCTATTTTAGACGATCATTTACAATTGATTGAGATTAATTTCAATATTTCCCTTTTCATTTTTTTTAAGAAACCATCAGCGTGTTAAGTACAAAATTTTCACAAGTTTAGTTGTATAGAAAGGCCAATTACAGGTCTCTTTTTAAAATTACGGTGTATCCAATTATTTCCATCAAGTTACCCTTACATATACACTGCATAAAACAGATAGTAAGATATTTATAACTAAAAACCTTAAAATATATAATAACTAAAATACATTATTAAAAGAAGTCCCTTTAGGCAAGGTTCCAAAAATACTGGCAGCGTTCCCCCTTTGAATAGCTAGACTAATTCTTTGTCCGAGGTAGCTGCCAGCTCTTCGGTCTCCTGTGATGTCGACCAACCTTTTTGCTATTTCAGATTATATCATTACTTTTTACTTTTAATGTTCTTTACATTTATATACTAGTCAACGACAAGTATTATTTCTTAATACTTAGCAATTTTCTTTAACACAAAGACCAGTTCTTATATTTCAAAACATAAGCTAAGCACATGGCGATCTACATTTTATACTTACAATGCACAACAATTGCAATTTTTTTCAAAGTTATTTCGTTAAGTATGCTCTGTTATACTTACGTACCGAAACACTGTAGGAAATGGTTTCGTAACGGCCCACAGCCAAGCATGACTGTGAATATGTAACGATAGAGAGAAAAAAATATTTGCTACTTTTGAATAGATATAAATATTATGTTTCCGACCGAAATTGTCTAATTAACGTGTGTAGCGAAATGTTTCATCCATAAGTACTTTATTTATAAATAATGTTGATTAAAGAAAAGTTTACTAGAAAAAGTCCACGCGGACCAGGCAGCGGACGGGACTTGAACCCGCATCCTTCGCTGTGGACTTTTTCTAGTAAACTTTTCTTTAGATTTAAACATCTAGCAGTTAAATGCTTAAAAAATAAATCAAATCATAACTATAATTGCTATTTCTTCTTTCAAATGTTTAATACTTGAAAAAGTATTCATTTGACATTGTGGGTTACCTACAGTGCGAAGAAATGGCGCTGCCTTGCAGCTTAAGGCTAGGAAAATTTCGACGCGGCTAATAGGGCCGTGGTAGCATAATGGTCAGTGCATTCGCCCGGATAGCGAAGGATGCGGGTTCGAGTCCCGTCCGCTGCCTGGTCCGCGTGGACTTTTTCTAGTAAACTTTTCTTTAGATTTAAACATCTAGCAGATAAATGCTTAAAAAATAAATCAAATCATAAATGTTGATTAAAGTTTTATCTCGAGGAGCTCGATGGCGCGGGTGGTTAGTGCGTTCGGCTGCGATCGTTGAAGTTAAGTAACTTTCGCAATGGTCGCTCATTGGATGGGTGACGAAAAATCTTCTATCTCGAGTTCCTCCGTGCTTCGGAAGGAACGTTAAGCCGTTGAGCCCGGCTGCATCAGCCGTCGTTAGCACCCGCCAATCCGCACTACGCCTGCGTGGTGGGTCATGGTTCAATCTCCTATTCCATCCATGGGGAAGGGCTGTGGCCCAGCAGAGGGGATAGTAATAGGCTGATGATAATGATGATGATTTATCTGTGTTCTGCCGTTATTATTACACTAGTAGTGACCTGTTTAACTTCGGTGTAGACTATAGTTTTTATTTATTTATTATCAAACTACATAGGCCTATAGATACGTTCCTTAGAGTCTAACATCATCATCATCAGCCTATTAATGTCCCTACTGCTGGGGCACAGGCCTTCCCTATGGATGGATTAGGGAGATTGGGCCATGACCCACCACGCGGGCCCAGTGCGGGTTCGTGGGTGCTAACGACTGCAGATGCAACCGGGACCAACGGCTTAACGTGCCTTCCGAAGCACGGAGGAGCTCGAGATAGTAAATTTTTGGTCACCCATCCATTGACCGACCACTGCGAAAGTTGTTCAACTTCAACGACCGCAGCCGAACGCGCTAACCACTGGCGCCATCGAGCTCCTCATAGAGTCTAACATATACAGGGTTAATTTTAAAACACCAAAAACCTCTTAGGGGGTGATTCTACCCATCAACAGAAACTACGTTTATTATGGAACCAACTCTGAAATAGCGAAAAAAAATTTTTGTTTCATACATTTTGATCGATTAGCTGATGCACTTTTGTATGAAACAGCAGATATTTTTTTATTTTTTTTTCGCTTCTTCCATACTCATATTTTAAAGGGAAATGATTATTTGTATTTCATAAGTTTGAGATGAAAAAACTCAAAACTAATGCAGCGATTTCAAAAATGTTTAACCATTAGAAATGCTATATTATAAATGACTAGCAAACCAGTGAACCAAATGTTCACCAAAAAAAAAAATGAATTTAATTAATTGAGAACTTCGGAGATTTTGTGTGGTTTCGTTTGAAATTCGTGATTTCTCGAAAACCGGATGTGCTACGTTACTCAAATCCGGTTTGTAGTCTTATCAGACTATTCTTGACTTATAACTTAAACATTCTCTTTATCTATCTCTTACGGTTTGGTCGCTGAAACAGCACCACAAACGGACGGACGGACGGACGGACTTGTCTAATAGATAAGAGATGTTACCAATATAGACCTTTTAATAAGTTTACCCAAACAAAACCGAGAAAAGGACCTCTTTGTAGTAC